GAACCGACCTTCGAATCTCTTCACCCAACACTTTCACTCGAAATGGAAGTAGGCTCAACAATTATGAAACTAGAGATTCCTTGAGACCCAAATTTTCTTCGCATATACTACTTTTTTATTTTTGATGAATATCATATGAACATTTTCCATAAACTCTTTGTGCACCATAATATTTTTCCATGTCGCCATTTGTTTGTCCTCTATTGCGTTTATCTACATTACTCGCTGTGCACCGCAGATGGTAAAGACGTTCGTTTTTATTCGTGGCCTAATGTGTGTCCATCTTTCTCACGCCATCAAAAATATTTTATATTTGGCTTCGGTATATTTGTTTACATTTCAATGTAGATATGTATATATATGGCTTCAGGTATACTAGTATGGATTTTAACCATTGCCTCAATAACACTAAAGATTCAAACGTTCAAATATCTCAATCTCTTCAATTCTTTGCAAAATATTGGAAATCACAAATATCTTTTTTACAAACCTAAATGTGAACAATAAGAAAAAAATTTGATTCATCTTATGCTGCTTAAGTTAATGTAATGACTTTTATCTCTTATTTAAATATTAATGATAGCCTCGAAAACAACTCTCTTCTAAAGTGATTATCATCATCGATTCTAATAGTAAATATAGATGCTTATCATCGATAATCCTAAAACATCTGATCTAGAAAAGACCTGGTATGCGTTTAAAGTCATCTGCCTTGTGACGCGCTGGCACCTATCGCAGTTTAGCGGTATGGTAATGCGTCACAATCGTACTCACTAACCGGTTTCAGATCCATTGGAAGGAGCTGAGATCCGGATGACATGGAGCCTACAGTCCAATCCAGCCTGGATGAGAAAACATTATTAGGGATAAATCGGAGGGAAATTCAGCGACATTGAAAAGCCCATTCCTAGCATTGTGAAAAATTCAACTGTCAGTATTTATAGTGATGGATCAAACTCTCGCAACTTGGTCGGAGCGTGAGAGACCTAATCTCATTACATTCTTGATTTCCATCATCGGACCACTGACTTAGTACTTTACATAAAGTTTCGCCGACATCGTCATTGATAGGTGCCATTAACAGCACCGAGTTAAAACTTATCAAAGCGACAACCGTTGGGGCATCACTCTTCGCTACTATTTTATACTGCCTTATAGTGATGCATCTCTCTCTCACCTCACTTCATATGGCTCATCTGCCTATTCAAAGAATTATATGCTCTCGTTTACTCAAATGTTGCTGAAGAGGGTGTCGATACAAGTGAGTTTAGTTAAGTGTGTGTAATCATCTTCGCCACCGGTACTAAGTGCCGTTTGCAGGGCTCCTGACCTTCATTCAGCCTTTGCTAAACAGGAAAATCACTGCTTAACTATCTGAAATCTGGCTAACTAATAGCCTTCAATTCCCGTTACTGATTACACCATATTCGAGGATTTAGATCAGGTGATGCCTATGCCAATGCCTGGGAATCTTCCTCTTCCTAGACTTTAAATCTATGATTCATTTATCCTTTTTCTCACCCCTGCCCACATTATGTCTCATCCTTTGGGACACTGTGTTCGGCTAAAGTCATAACCGCTGGTGTGAAAATGTACTGCTTCGCTTTTTTATCCATGAATCGCGAAAAGCACACTCCTATCGTCCTTCAAATGGGCACTCCAGCTAAGATTAAGGCACTAGGATGTTCATGTGTGTGTTGGCTGGTATCAGCCATGGTCAAACCAGTCACCAGTCGCCTCCCGCTAAGACACACAAACGAAAGGAATGCACTCAAGCGCGCACGAACACACTGTTTATCTAATCTGGCCCACCTATACTCTTAGACTTTAATTTCATATCCAACATCCCACAGGTGGACCTTTCGGTAAATTCTCGGCCGATTCCAGGCTTGACCCTTATCACTACAATCGCCTTTTCTTGACTTCCCTTTCTTCCTCATGAACCGCTCCTTGACGATGTCTCTTCCTGTTGTCGAAGAATTGTCCTGTTTCTAAGCGTCCCCTTTTTTATGTATTCGCTTAATCTCCAAGTCTGTCCAGGGAATACGCGAAATAATCACTGACTCTTTCCTCTTCGAATCTACTGTTAATCAGGTTGCTTCGAAAGAGATGTTTACAGTCTTATTTATTTTTAGTTTTCTGTTGTCGTTTCGTTGCATTCGAGTCAATTGTGTGTTCGATAAAGGCGATGTGTTCAGCCATTTCCGAGCTTTCCGTATCCACTTGTCTGCATAGTCGTGGTGTTCCTTGATTTTTGTGCTCATTGTCCTTCCCGTCTCCCCGCCCCCGATGCAGTGCTTGCTGTAAACTCCGAAGCACTCGATTTTGTTGACTTTTTTATATTGTGTAGGCAAACTGGTGAAGAGGGTTGTCCTTTCTTTCTGGATTGTACGAATTTTCCATTTCCATAGTATCGGCTGCAGCTTCCGAACCAATTAACAGAAGAGTAGACATATCCATCGTTTTTCCTCTGCCTCTCTTGCTTTCCTTTCATACTCTCCGTCCTTCCATTTGTTCATCATCACCCGTATGCTGTGTTGCATTGTTTCGTCTGGATATCCTTTTCCAAGGCAAATCTGGTTTGTTTTTCCAGTTCCTCTTCCCAGGACTCATAATCGGTGAGTCGTAGGCTGCCTATGACCCATTATCGTTGACTTTACCATCTTCCCATCACCCGTTCATTGAATTTATTTCCACAGGATGCCAATGGCCTCCCCAATCTTCCGTTTACTTGTGTTTTCACCGTATAAGGCCCTTCTTTTGTTACCTTCCAACTCAGCTCGTATCCAGTCTGT